GGATCCAATCTCTCCTGTAACGACCCAACCTAATTTTGTATCTTGTAAACAGGCATTTCCTGATTGAAGTTGAACTCTCCTTGATCCTAGTAAGTCGAAAAATATTTCCCCACCTATAAGTATATCTATATTTCCTGCAGTACTGAAGGAATGATCAGCCAATTGAGGTATCAGTTCTTCAGGAATATTCCAACCCTCCATTGGAATTGAGCAACAGGGCATATTTTCTATTATCACATATATATCATATTTATAATATCATATTTATACTTATAATTATATGACTTATTTTTTGTCAAATATTATGTAAATTGGAATTTTTATTTCCGTAATAAATTATTATTATTATTATTATTATTATTATTATTATTATTATTATTATATTACACCGTATATTTTGATATTTTTAATGCATATTTATGCGCATATTCTAGTATTTTTTAACGCATTAAGTTCCGAGCCTTGGTGATAATATAAGGAACATAACGTGAAATGGCGTTCCACTATGGTCTTCCAGTGTGGATAACTTTTAGTTTGGGGTAGAGAATTTTATTTTGTTTTTTTTTTAATTGGTGCAGGTAACTTTATGATCTATGATTTATATATGACGAAAATTATTTTAAATAATCAGTTTAAATTTTATCATGGCTTTTTGGCGAGCAAGTGGCTTTATATCATGTAGTACTACTGTCGCATTACTATCGATATCAGTGTTGATTGTGGAATGTGTGGGGATACGAATGGATCTTCGCAGGAAAAAAATATTTTATAATATATTATACCATATTGCCTACATTTAACCCCTTTTTTGCAACTATCAAAATGTGATAACTTTGATAAAACAATAACATCATTTATATTATAATAGTTTTATATATTGCTAAATTTGAATTAAAATAGTTAAATAAATTTAATAATACACAATTTGAAAAAAAAACACAATAACGTAATTTAAAATTTAAAAATATACAATTCATTGCGAATACTTCAAGCGAAAATATAATACAAGTGTTATAATTAAGTTTAATATTTTGTATTTTTGTTGTAAAAGCGTACCTAACTGTTTAAAGTTTAAACCATGGGTCCCATCAACACAGATTTAGTCATTTCCAAGTACAAAAATCATATTTTTCTAAATTTGTGGCAAAATCATTGTTTGTGAATAGAATTAAACAAAAATCAATCGGGCACGCGTCACCTTCTATGTCGATTCTGTGGTCTTATTGCAAACTCGCGCGCCCGCAATTATCTTAATTGCCTACATTTGCGCCCGTGACACTATGGTCAATATTTTAATTGTCAACAAGCGCTCGCGAAATCTTACATCAATTTCAAAATAGAATCGATGCCGTATTCCAGACAAGCTCGGCCATTTTACTAACTATTTGGCCCATAACACTCATACTATACACATTTCAATGTTGTTCCTTCCGCAGAATCTTGGACATCATTTAAACCCTTTGAATAGGAACCAGTATAGATGGTAGTATAGTCTTCTATAAAATAAAATACACTACCTGCCAATTTTGCTCTATCAGCTGTAGTAAACCTTAATTTACCAATTCCATTTTTTCATAATTGAGTATTGCTGTATCTTACACTAATCCATTGTCCTCGTTTAATGTAGATTAAAATATGGTACTTCGAACTTAGAGGTGTGGAAAAATACGAGAGTAATAAAAATGTTATATTTTTTATTACTTTTGAATTGTACCTTTTAAATGACGATCGTAAGTGAATATTGTTTTTTTTTCGAATTGTGTATTATTAAATTAATTTAACTATTTAAATTTAAATTTAGCAATATATAAAATTATTGTAATAAAAATTATGTTCTCTTTTTATCAGTGTTTTTTTTACATTTTGATAGTTGCAAAAACAGGGATAAATGTAGGCAATATTAAATATGGACAAAAAAAAAATTTTCCTGCTAAGATCTATTCGTGTGGCCACGTAGCCCCACTATCACACGTTACCAACTGTCACTGTAATGGGAAATTAAATAATAGGTTCTATAAGTTTTTTAAATTGGAATTTGATATTAAAAATGGTACAAATAATGGAGTTGAATCTCGAAATAAATTATTAAAACATTTATATTTTTTTTAATTTCAGATACTTGATTGTTTAAAAAAGAATATTGAAATGGGAAAACAAACTGTAAATAAATATTTATGTTTCTTACCCTCGGTACACAATCACGTAATAGAAATTTCTTTTTTAAAACATCCAAATCTGATTATAACGAAATATAATATAATAGCAGTAACCTACCAATACGCAGTAGAGAACTTCTGAAAAAAATTACAGATTCGTTTACTTAATAGACCAAAAAGAATACTCTGTAAAACGGTTAAAACAGTTGAATGTTCTAAATAATGTATAGGAGAAAATGAGTGATATAGCAAATAAAAAAGATGGACTAAACTTTCTAAACTAACCTTCTAAACATAATTCATCGGCATTATTAGACTTGCCAAAAACTATAAAAAAAAAAACAGAAATAAATAGCAAGGTAAATCAACATACTAATATATTACTGACAAACATACTATATAAGGGGATTTATTTACAAAATTGTATTATACGTTACATATTATGGTGAACCATCACTACATAATTCCCGCTCGGAGTTGGTAACATTGTATTGTTAGGTGGTTGGTTACCATGGTTTTCGACGGCGCCAATGATCGCCACGTCAGGGCGGCGGTCACCCGCTCGTATCGCGACCCGTACACACGTTCCCTGAACGACTTCGACCCTACGTTCTACCGAAACCTCGCGACCACCGTCATCATCCGCACTTGCAGTTTCTGTATATATGTTTTTTGGTTGTTTATGTGTACACACGTAATAAACGCCTTTTTAATACAAATTGGTATCGTTTTCTTTCTCCCTGCGATAGGACACCAATACTCTTTACAGCTGTTGGGGGTGATCGTGTTACTAACACGAGATCTCCACAATATTTTAGATAACAGATTTTTACTTGATAACACCAAAATGATAATGGCTGCATAACGGTAACAATATTATGGTGCCGTAATAAGTAGTTTGGTGTAAGGTGTGTGATGAACACCTGTCCAAAGTGACTGAAAGAAAGGCGATTTAAAAATTTTAAACGAATACAAATAATGGTAAAAATATATGATATATTAAACGATAAACTCGACAGAGGAATAATAAAAATGATGCTCGACGAAGTAGGATAACAAGAAGCGTACAACAAGTATAAATATTTAACACAGGTAAAATGGCGACGTTTCGAAAGGCGAAAAATACAGGACAAAAACGGCATGCACTTGACTCGTTTGACGGATCGGCGGCGTAAGCGAGCAAAGCCCGATCGAGCTATCACCCAAACTATCGTCGTTCGAACAGTCAGGATTTACATAAAATATAAATTATAAGGAAAATGTAAAAATAATACAATATAGTAAAATACAAGCTATAGGGTAACAGTTGGTACCATAAGACAGTGAGGCTACACACCGTTTCCATGGGCGTAACTAAGGTTGGGGTCTTATCACTCCGGAACTAAGATTTAGCCCCCCATAAATATTCCATGTTATACATGGTATACTGCATACAGTATACTTAACTCACAATAGTGTTACATACAAAAAAGACATTGCAGTAAATCCGACTTGGCTCAGAATCTAAAATATAATAACATGGTATATAAGAGTAGGGGTAATCGACAGGTTATTTTAAGTTTTAGTAGGAGGGCTGTAGCCCTCCAGATTTTTTACACTAGTTGTGCCTATGACCGTATCCCCACAGTAGTATTTATAACGGACCAACGCGGCATACTAGAAAAAGAAATATAGTGGTGTAATATAGGGGTAACTACTGATAATTTACTTCGAACACACTCTAATGGCATTCACGCATGCGTGTGACAAATTTTCTATATTCAACTCCTTAAAACTACCAGGATCGAATCCCTTTAATGAATAAAATAATAAAAATTATTAAATAGTTAACACTCGTAAATTAATATATCAATAAATAAACAAATAGTTTAAATATAGAAATAAATAAAAGCTTAGCCTCGATTATTTTTATACTTGTAAAGTACGATCGGTTTCGAAATAAAAATTAAACGTCAGGTGTTCACAAAGTCAGTAAAATAGCGAATGAATATAAAAAAATTAATTCGCGATTAAAGTAAATCATCTACGTAAAATAAAGCAATATCTCGATTGTACGAGTGAATATTTTACTTTTCAGTGGCAGAATCTTGGAATCGACATCCAAACGGTTTTCTGTCTGGGAATACATTTCACATGGGACTTTATGATGAGTGTATTGATATACATCGTCCAATAAAAGGCCAGTATTGTTTATCCGAGATAAAACTAATACCGTCTGCAGAAAACTATATCAGTCACAACGAAGTACACAATAGGAATAACATAGGAAGTTGGCAGAACGTACTTGGGGTACAATATTCAACAAATACTTGATTATTTTTATAATAATATTTTTTTAATTACAAATAAAACATACGATAAAGATAAGTATGATATATATTAAAAATGAAATGGACTAGCGTACACGGGTCCATGTGAACCTTATCTAAGTATACATACAACTTATATACAATATATTTTTATCGGTTTAATTTTATTTGTTAATTTTTTTTTTTTTTAATGGTTTATTCATTTTTTTATCGCAGTGGATTGATTACCCAGATCAAATTCAACGAAACATTTTAAATTTAGGAATTTGCATTCCGGATTCTTGTTCATCGTCAGATTTACAAAGAACACTGCAAAATGAATTGGACAAAGTATTCTTACAAGAACAAATCAAAACTGTTGTTAAAGTAGACCCACATCTATGTACTGTTAAAGAAGATATATACCCTAAGAGTATAGGATTTTATATAACAAGGTAATTCGATGTTCAAAAATATTAATAATTTTAAAAGCCCAGTAAATGCATCATGTGCTTCATAGGCGAAAATCAGGGGGGGGGGGCTTGAGGCGTCTAAGCCCCCTTAGAAATGTAATAAGCAAATAATGTTCAGCCCCCCCCCACTAATTTCACCAAATTTCTGTTTATGATGTATTAACATTTATAAGAAACACTTCACTATTTCGATATATAATATAATTCTATTAGGTAATACACATTTCTCTGAAATATATATGAAAAATAACCAATAGAATGATCATTTTAAAACGTTTGTTAAGCATTATTAAAAACATAATTACATTTTTCGGTAAAAAATATTTTTAAATTAATAATCATGAAATGAGAAAATGTCAGCATCCTCCCCCTCAAAATTGGATATTTGTCAAAATTTATGCATATTAAATATGCACTACGCATTTCTCTCAACAAAAAAAAAAAAAAATAAATAAATAGAATGATGATAGTTTTAAAGCATTAACCTCCAAATTGGAATTTTGAAAACCATTTTGAACCAATCATTTGTGCACTAGCCCCCGAAAATTATTATCAAATCAAATTTGGAGGGCAGTAGAAACGACAGCTCCCCAATTTTGGAATGTCGACATATTATTTTTTTGGGCCTTTCGTTTGTGTAATGTTTGTAAAAGAAAATTTTTTTTTGGAAAAACATAATTTAGCTTTGATAAAGAGGAATTATTTTCAAATAATTTTATATTTTACTTATTTATCAATTTTATTATATAAGTTTAATACAAATTATAAACATACAACATAGGTATTTAAAAATTAAAATCTTGTACTTACTTTGTAACTGTATGTTAGATCTCATTTATTATACTTTACATTTATTATTTAGAATAATTTAGTGTTTGAATTTCAATATGTATATACATATAGTCAGTGTTGTGCATTATCTAGATGAATTATGTAGATAAAAACATTAATCTGTTTATCCATCTTTTTAAATAAAATGGTTATCTAAGATAAATTATTTAGATAATTTTAAAAAAGGTAATTTTTTTTTTTTGTGGTATGTGAAACGAGGAATAATAAACACTTAGTGTTATTGTATGTTCGTTTTAAATTTTAAATATACATATTCTATAAACGAAGAAAAGGTATTATAAAATTATTTATACAGAAAACATATAAAAACGAAGTATTTCAAATAATACCATTCAATAACGATTAACTTTTTTTTTCTTTATAATCGACGACTGGGCGATACCCGCTGCCCAATGCTTACGCCCGGAATTTAATAAACTTATACATAATAGTTAATATTATACTCATATAATAATAATATAGACAATAACTGTGTGAACACATCAGGGACGGCGCGAGGGGGTGGGCAATAGAGGCAGTTGACCAGGGCCCCGCGCCTTAAATTATAATTAAGGCCCCGCGGTTCTGATTTAACTGAAATTAAAATATTTTATTAATATAAATTATAAGACCCAACATTTACTTTTCCCAGGGCCTCGCAAACTCTAGCACCGTCACTGGAACACATGGACATAAAACGTCAATCTTTGGCTGAAACGTTCCATAATTAACAATGTATTAACTTAGATTAAAGTAATAAATAATAATGAAACCAACCAGTAACCACTGAATAGTGGCCATGGCTATATAGTATTTAACATTGATTATAGAATAAATTTAAATTTATAAAGTTTATTCAATAATCAATGCTATTTAGTAATAAGCAAAATGAGACAATAGATGGCGGTAAGTGTCATAAATGAAAAAATAATTATTATATATCGAATTTAGATAGGCAGAGAATGACGTAGGGGGATCAAGTCGTCCAGGAAACCTGTTTAAGTAAAAATAACCTGAGATAAGAAAAGATATCCAATTTATAATTGCGTTATACAAACAAAATATAATTCTGTTTAACCACCTATAAAGAGAAGTGGTCTATATCTCAAAATAAATGTTATATTATTAAATTGTTAAATTAAAAATTTTCAAGGAAGTAATTTTCATAATTGTGACATTTAAATTTTGTTTTAAAACATTTTAACCATTTTCCTCATTGTTTAAAATAATTAAATTCCGACTATTCCGATGATATACTTTCTAATTATTAACCCAATCTAATATAATATAATCAAAAATCTGTAGACACTTACAAAGATCAGTGATGTTATATATAGCAACGGGTAAGTTACTTGGGGTGAAAAATATGAAGAAGTCTAAAATATCTGGATGCCTATTGGTGTGAGTGGGCCAATGTGTCGGTCCAGTAGGTGCGAGGAGTTACCATTTCTGATCGGTAATTGTTTTGTGTAGGATTTTACCTCTTGGAGAGGTGGAGCGGCAGCCCCATACTGGGTGTTTGGAATTAAAGTCACCAGCTACAATGAAATTATTCCCTAGTGAGATAAAAAGTTGAGCAAGATCTTGAGTGGTGATTTTTTGGCTGAGAGAACAGTAGACTGATGTAAGGGTTAACGGAACATGGTTTAGGAAAATTTGAATAGAAACTGACTGAAGGTTGGTTTGTGGATTGATTGAGTGTAGGTTGTGAACTAAGTTAGTGGCAATGATTATGGCAGAGCCTGCATGAGTCGTACCATCCGGGTGGTCTGCACGGTATATTGAGTAACCAGATAGTTTTAATTTTATTGTTTTAGTTAGGTGAGTTTCAGTGATACAAGCTACGTGGATATTATTTTGGATTAAAAAATTATGTAGTTCATGTTTGTGTTGGGATAAGCCATTTGCATTCCAGAGAATAATATTTGTTGCACTATTTATCATTATGACTGAACCATTTGGTAATTAGTGATGTAAGAAGAGAAATGAGAGAAATTATTAGTGATTTAAATTCTTCGAGGAAGGATGCTAGGGGTGGGGCTTACGGAATTGTTGAATCATAGTTTTCCGAGTTTGAGGCGGTGTTTCTTTTGGAAGTTGTATGGGCGTATGATGGTTTTTCATTGCTGTTGATCTGGCTTGACACGACCTGGTGTGATGAGTGTTTTGTAAAGCTTAGTGTTGAGACGAAGTTTGGTTTGGAGTTTTGATCCCGCAAGGTGGATTTTGGTGGGGAGTTTCGGTTGAATTTTCGGTGGTCCATTTTGTACTTGACACCCTCTATAGTTGGCTGGGTGTGGTTGAGTACATAAGGCACAGCTTGCAGTAGAGTCCTTATTTTTCTTGCATTCACTTAGAAGGTGGTTTTCACCACATTTCACACATCTAGGTTGGTGATTGCAGTATATTTGGGTATAGCCATAGGACTGGCAACGCGTGCATTAAATTGGGTTGCGTCTGGGACGTGGCTCTTCTATTTTTATTTTTGTGTAATAAAGTGTGTCTATTGCAAAAATATCTTTGTTTTATGGTGAAGGCTCCAAGTCTACAAAAAAGAGTTGGAGAGGTATTTTAGTTTGATAATGCAAAACGTTAAGGATATTCCTGACAGTGAAATCTTTGGAATTTAATTCCTCCTTTATAGTGTCGACAGGCGTAGAATGATGGAGGTGCCTTATTACCACTCTATATGATTTTTCATCTTTGAGTTGATATGTGTGAAAGTTGACTTTTTTTGTCTTTCAATAATTTTATAGTTTTGCGATATGAGTCGGTTGTATATGTATTTAATTTCAAACCATTTACGGAAGATTTGCATAAAAAACCATCAGGTTGAGTCAATTGTTTAATGGATTCGCAGAAAAGATTAAACTGCACTTTATCGGTTCTAATAAATATAGGTGGTGGCAATAGGAGTTTTGTCTGCGATATATTTGTTGAGGTATCAGTTTCCATCTGAACGACGTCATTGCTTTGGGCAAGTGGAGAGAATTTGTTTTTAGAAATGTACGTAGTGTTTGATTGTTTAGGATTTGGAGAGGTACCCGTTGGAGAATTTTATTTTTTCTCTTGTCTGTCTTTTTTGACCAGGGTGTAGACCAGTCGAAAATATTATCATCATCATTGTCAGTGGGGGTACCTGAAGGTGGCCCGGCTTTTGGTAGTACAGAGTTTTGATTGATTATTGTTATCGGTGGTACTAATGGCTTTTGTTTATCGCTTTTTTTTGGCAATGGTGATTTGTTATTTATCGCATAGGTAATTAGTGGGACTAATTAAGAAGCGGTGTTTATGGGGGTTTTTGAGAAAAAAAAACAGCATAGTTAACAAAACATTAACACCTATCAATATAATTATTTAATTATCATAATAATTTTATAGTTGTATATTTCAAGTTCAAAGCTTAATGAAACTACGAATATATTATACGTCATCAATAATAAAAAAAATTTTTTTTTGCCCTGGAGGGGTTTGAACCCGGCTTCCCCCCCCCCCGGATGTATGCCACTGTTGATTTATATATATATATATATAATATATTATTTATTTATTCTATAAAATTTCTATGTTTTTTTCTTACTTAGCTTCGCGTCACTATATCGTCGTGCTAGATATGGTATATGTATATATAGGCAGTATATATAATGTAATGATGTTACATGAATATATATTCGGCGGAATCGATAAGTTTCTTACAGGTAAAAAGACCTTTTCGGCAGAGTTTATATACGTCCATATAAACCATGTAACGATATTTGACAAACAGACGTATACGTATAACAATGGTTAAAATTGATTATAGTTCAACATTGATCACGGATAACAATAAATTGGAGATTACAAATGTTTATATGGAACGCTAGTGCATTCTATTATTAGGAATCCATTACAACTACAATTCTAGCTCCATTTGAGACATTTTAGGCATTTCCAATATTTATCATTCCATAGGCTATCTATGTATAATTAATTAATGGTATAATGTATATAGATCTTGTTATTGAATCGTGTTAGTGAATACAGAGAATAGTAACAAGGTAAAAGTAATCACTAATTAGTTATTGGTAAATACATACGGTTAAATAAAATAAATATACCTATTTATGTGGAATAGTTTTAAAATGATGATATAGTTAATCAAACATGTGTTCTATAAATATAATATACATACATAGAGATATGCATTTAAAATTATAAATTGTTTGTCAGAGACCAGTATTAATAATATTAATAATACTATTATTAGTATCCTACATTCATACTTTGCTACTTTAACGTTCCATCGACCTTCATTGTTATTAGTTATTTTCGGCTGTTCGACGTTAATAACTAGTTGTCCCTATTTCTCAATTTAACATGGATAACTTTATTTCTCGAAAGAGGAAGCGGATCCATGAAGATGATCCTGAATTATAGGTATATGTTTAAATCATAAAACTAGGTTCATTTTTAATTATACATTATTTAAATTATAATAAATTAATTCGATCTGTAAAGTGATTAATAACATAAAATAAAAAGAAATAAAAATAGTTTATTTATAATATCTTAAAATATTTATGTTTAAAAAATTTGGGTGATGAAAAATAAAAATAGGTTTCTGTACTGTTTTCTGTCAAAATTAATTAAAATTATTTTAAAGCAATTAAATCATAATTAATTTTTTTATTCATAGAAAAATAACCATTTTTCAAATGTAAGTTCTGAATGATGAAACTGTTTAAAATGATGTTTTTATCTAGTTTTATCTGTTATTTATCTAGATAAATGTGGTTGTCTTTTATCTATTATACAGATAAATTTTTAAATCGTTATCTATGATCTTATCTAAATGAAATTTTAATGTATTATCCGTTATCTTATCTAGATAATATTTTGGTTATCTATGTACAACACTGCTTATGGTTTCTTATCAAGTATAATAAAATTAAAAAATTATAATATTATTGGTTTAGTGCCATTTTTGTAGTGCTAATTTTTCTTTGCTGTGTCGCTTCAATACATCAGTATACAACAATATCTTGCCAACTAGATACACCTAATAACAGTAAGTATTAACACACTTATACGTATGTAAGATATAATATATTTTATTCTTAAAATAAAATTTAAGCATATTTAAAATTTTAATTTCAGAAAACTGTACCCATTCAATTTTCTATTCATTTTCGTTTATTAAAAATGGCAAAGATTTATGTATGTACGACAAAAAAAGTAAATTAAATGTCATTTATGGATTTAAACTTCTGATAATGTCATTCATCATTTTTGGTCATCGATTAATGTATTTCGCTGGCAATCCAATGAATAATGTTAAAACTATGGAAAATGTAAGTTTATTTTTAGGTAATAAAATATGTATATACTACATTAATACAAAACATACAATTTTATGGATGAGTATAATGTAGTCTATACTATAAATATTCCGATTTATAGTCAACTTATTTTGAAAAATACTTAAATTCAACATAATTTAATACAAAACCGCTTAGTTTATATATTTTAGAAGGATGTATGGTTTGATTACAAATTAAACTTTATAAATGAATAAAAATTTTTTAGAATAGTAGCACATCTTTATTTTTAAATATTTAAGTTTATATATTTAATTTTTCAAAAAAAAAAAAAAAATTGTAAAATTGTAAGTTAACTCAAAAAGATCATTTTCGAAAACAATTTCCTAGATAATTTTGTTAAATGTAAATGTATAACATTACATAAGTTATTTATTTAACCAGTTTATAACTTACTAAAACAATTAAGATTCTGAATGTATTCAATTTGTAATTATGACACGCATCCAGTTATAAGTAAGAATTGTATTAAAATTAGGTAAATAAATATTGAATTCTGTGTTTTGGCTCGGTATGAAATGTTAATAATATTGAAAGTGCTGGTCACATTCATACAGAAATAAGTACTCGTAATACACAAAATAACAAATAATCTCAATCGTCGTTACCTTTATTCATTCTAGGAACGTAATTTGTGGGGGAAGAGGCAGGTTAGGTAATCATTATATGTATTGAATTACAGACCCTGATACAACATAAAATATGTTACCTATGAATATTATCATTCTAAACATTAAGATCAGAGATATATAACAATATTATAATGTCACTTATTTTGTAATAAGTAATATGTTAACAAAATATGGATACCGCTTGCTTAATATTAATTTTAAAAAAGTACAACCTATATGATTGTTTGAGTCCTGGGGAGGGGGTGGAGGATAGTGTTGTACTTAATAGAAGAAAGTAAATCGACGATTCAATAATCCAAATAGTTTAATAGTATCCCTACTATCATAAGTATCACAAATACATAAATTTAATACATGAGTATAGCACCATATGTAAATACTATTTTGTAATTGTATTTTGTAAATACTATTTTCATTTTTCTTTCCTTATGTATGCTTGAAGTCCATTGAAATCTCCTCGCATATTTGCAGCTTTATCGAAAAACTCACCAATTATGTTTTTAACATTAATTAAATTGAATTTTGTACTTCTAAAATAGCGAAGAGATGTTTCTTTATATTGAAATTGAAAACACAACATATACAAATAGCAGCTTAATCTGTGGACCATATATCCTGAGTACTGTCAACCTTTGAACAAAAATTTAAAAAAATTCATTACATAATAAGTAAAATCTATAATTTTTGGATGAGATAATTGTAAACTAAATTGTCTACCTCCCAAGTCATCTTTAGTTTTTCTTCAAATTAATTGTAATATTACGAAAATAACTTTATTGACTGTAGTCTTAGAGAGCATTGTGACCAAATGTCCTTTTCCTTTAGTATTGTTAGAAATATTTTCTTTGCGCTTTTTGCTTCTTTCAATTGCAGATGTCAAATAATCATTTAAAATGAATTCTCGCTTAACCGTAAACTTTAAGATTACTAAAAAGTTTCCCAACTATAATTTATATTCTCGCAGTTATAACTATATGAACCTGAAACTTTACATGGAAGATTTTTTTTTCTCCAAAAGCTTTATAATTTCAAACACTTGCTCTAGAACATGAATTCGTTCAAGTGCTTGTTTTCTTTTTAAATTTATCAAGTTTATTTATTTATTTAAATATAATGTGTGATCGAAAAGTCGCGCACACCAAAATAGAAATGTTTCTAAATAGTAGTTGTGATAAATAAATTTTATCGGTTATTTCAAAATAACACTATGGGTATTCTCGACATTTAATCTAGACGTCATTATTATATGTATTTTTGATACGACGCTTTTAGTAGTGCTTTGATTATTTCTCTGTGAACATGTCGTTTTCCCAAGACCAACGTGTGTTTATTGTTGAACATTATTTTGCTAGCCGTTCTTATGCTTGTGTAGTTGATGAATTTCGAGTGAAATATCCGAATATAGCAGTACCTAACAATTCAACCATAACGAGATTAATCGCCCGTTTCCGTGAAACCGGATCAGTTTCAGACAAGAAGAGAACCGGGAGACCTACCGTTTTGACTAACGCTAAACTAGCCGAGGTAAGAAATGTGATGCTGCGTTCACCATCAAAAAGCTTGAGAAGACTATCAGCACACTCACAAATTTCATATGGTAGTGCTCAAAAAGCGATGAAGAAATTAAAATTTCATGCATATCATGTTCGTAGTGTTCATGAATTAAAAGAACCTGATAAAGAAAAGCGCCTTTTGTACTGTAGATGGTTTCGTTCATTTATCGATAGCAATGGAATTGGAGAACTTGACCGTGTTTTTTTCAGTGACGAGGCATGGTTTCATCTGAGTGGATATGTGAATAGTCAAAATTCTAGAATTTGGTCCACCGAAAATCCGCATGCCCTTCACGAAACCCCTTTGCACAGTCAGAAAATTGGAGTTTAGTGTGCCATATCACGTCGTCGAATAGTGGGCCCTATTTTCTTTGAAACAACAGTGAACAGTGTTGTATACCAAGACATTATAACACAATTTATTTCGTTGCTTGAAATCGATGAAGGAGATTGTTGGTTGCAACAAGATAATGCCACATGTCATACATCCAATAGAACAATGAATTTTTTACGCGAGTTTTTTGGCGAGCGCATCATATCCAAAGGATTATGGCCTCCCCGTTCTCCCGACTTAACACCTCCAGATTTCTTCCTATGGGGTTATCTTAAATTTTTATAAACAAAAATAGACCACAAACATTGGATGAATTGAAGAGTAACATAACAACGGAGATAAACTTAATCAATGTGAGCGTATTGCACAAAGTGGCCACAAACGTGGTAAAACGGGTTCGTGCATGCATTAATGAATAAGGCAGCCATTTTGAGTATATGTTATAAAACATGTTAAATGAATATTTATAAATTAATTTGGAATATTTTTGTATTTGTGTTTATAAATAAAAGTAAAAGTAATTCAATAAAAATACTATTAACAAACACATTCATTTTGATGTGCGCAACTTCTCGATCACACGTTATTTACATAAATTTCAATGATAGAATTGTTAAATGCTTTGATAAATGATTTCCACTGCTGAACTATGAACTTGATTTTTTTCATGAGTTTAAATAGTGGCATAAATATTTTTGAAATTTGTACATCCAGTACAAAAGATACTGTAGGTAGAGGAAAAGCTAAATACCATGCAAATGGAGCAATAAATCGTTTTAACTTGGTTCTTGCCTTTACCTTGAATAGTCAACCATTTCCCAGGTATTAAATTGCCCTTTAAGTCAGTTCGATTGTATATTCTGTGAAGTGACTATGTCACATCATTTTAAATTATTGGTGTTAGAGGTTTTAAGCAAGAATTAAGTGTCCAATAGTACGTACTAATACAGTATGCTCTCGGTCCATATATTTTGATATGTATGTATGTGTGTGTGTGACCATCCATCTCATTATTATAAATATTTATATTTTGAGGTTAAACAATGCGTACATGACACATATGACTCTAATGAAAAATTAAATTTAACGACGTAAATATGTTTAAGTATTTTAAAAAACACCTATTATAAAATGCATAGAGAGCACTATTTCGGAGGGATTCTCATCGGAATTTTTTATATTCTAAGTGTAGAGTATGATATAAAAGGCACAAAAACATTTTTTTTATATTTTAAAAATTGCTGTTACTTTTTTTGTAATTTTTTGTAGTATTTTTTAATGCCGTTTAGTATGTTTTTTCGCGGACGTGTTTTTACTACTGAGTATGGTCGGTGTAAAGTAAATGATTTTGAAGTTAATATAGCCTACCTACTATGCACTAAGAATTTTTATTTATTACATTATAATGGAAGAATTATAATTACAGATGTATATCAATGGACCAGACATTATATTAACCAGCATGAACTTAGTTGATCCATTTTTTTTCATTAGTGGCTATCTCATTTACATTACAATCACTCCAGTATTTCAAAAATCTGAACCAACTTTGATGAAAATTGTAAATCAGATTACCTACATAACAACAAAGTAATGAATACCATAATATATATTTTAAACCTTGCGTTGATAAATAATGTTCTGTTACTATTTTAGAATATTACCAGCATACTGCGCAATAATGGTAATCACCACAAATATCGTGCCATTCCTAGGAGATGGTCCGCTTTGGGCAAAAAGTACAGGGACTGAAGCCGAGATATGTAAAAACTATTGGTGGACAAATGTACTATTTATAAGTAATTATTTTGATGCCAAATACCAAGTAAGATTGCATTCACTTTTGTAAATATTTACTATAAACTACTTATATTTATTACTATTTCAGTGTCTTATAGGGAGCTGGTACATATCGTGTCATATGCAATTTGTCATAATTGGAGTAATTATTGTTTGCGTTTATACGAAGAATGCTACATACGGAGAAATTTTAAATGGTGTGTTGATTGGTGTATCGCTCTTATTATCATTTATTATCACGTATGTTGGGAAAAGAGATGGAATACTTAAAATACATTTGTTGTGAGTATATGATAAATAATTTGTTTGTATAGAACTCTAACGTCATTCTGTCAATCGAACCTCAAATCTTGTATTAAATTAAACACTAGCTATTATTGTCATGCATGTAAAATATACATACGTTGTAAATATATTTATGCATGTGCGCTCACAGGAAACTTATGAGGGGGCAAAATTAAATCAAACACCAAAAAGTATATTAAAAATGTATTCTTAGCAAACAATAAAATGTGTCAGAATTATATACACTTTAGTCGTTATTAAATAAAAACTGAAATCTTCGCAGTTGTTCAATTGCAAAACTTGTTATTAACCGTTTAATTAATTTTTTCCAGGGGAGGGGGAAATGTCCTGTCTTGCCCCTCCCTCTGGGCGCCCATATGCATATATAACCATGATTTTGGTAAGATATAAGAAGAGTCATAATTATTTCCGAAAAATCTACATGAATTGATAAGTGTATTTTTTACATATATAATTATTAAACGTTCAACATTACAACAGTAATTCGATTTATTATTTATTATTTTGTTATAACTATTATGATTATAATAGAAACATTATAATAATAAAATTTATTACAGATTCTTAAAAAATCCAAGGGGTTCCATTACATTCAATCATTCCTATAGAGAAACTCACATGCGAGCAATTCCTTTTTTGGTTGGGTTGGCATCTGGGTATATTGTGAAAAAATTGAAAGAAAAAAAATTGAAATTATCACAAGTACGTTTTAATTATGCATTTTAATTTTTTTAATATCAAAATTAATTTCTACATATTAAATTAAAGAAACATTTTTTTTACAGAAAACTGTCTATGGTGGAACTACTCTTGTCACTTTGGTTTGTTTGTATGTTCAACTTCTTGGAGCTGAATTTTATAAAAACAAAAGACCTTATTATCCAATTGAACATGCTTTGTATCAAACTTTAAGTCATTGTACATGGACAATAATTTGTGTATGGATTTGTTTTTGCCACTTCACAACTGGTTATGGTAATTTGAATTTTCGTTTTTATAATAATAATTATATTTTGTATAATAATTATTTTATAATAAGAAACAAAATTTAAAGATAAATCTTTTATAATGAGTAAATTATAAACTGCCATACGTTTATAAATTTATGCCGCCATAAATATTTTTTAAAAGAACAAGATTTCGTGTCACGATGTATGTTCGCGATAATCTCCGAAACTACTGGACCGATTTTGATGAAATTTTTTACACCGTGTGTAATTTGGTCCAACTTTAAATATAGGATAGTTTTTTTTCAAATTTTTTAATATTTTAAAAATTTAAATACCTTTTTAATAAATGTGTATAATTGCATGGTGTATTTCGGGTTTTCCCGTGACCGACCGCAAGTATCTATATAGCTACCTGTAATCTGACCTTTTTTCTATTGTGTGTGTTTTATCGTCGTCGGCGTGTAGATATGAATTGTTCCGAGAATTATATAACTAACCTAACCTATGGTTTTTATCTCAATATTATTTTTTGCATTGCAATTGTTGTAATGAAGAAAGTTATAGAATTTTCGAGAAATGTTCAAAGGTATAAAATGCGAAGTTCGGTACGACGTAAATTCAGAAAATATATATGTTGGTTTGTACTTAATTTCAACATTTAGATACTTTACCTATTACTTTTAAATTTTCTCATACATAATAACACTAATACATGGCCTACGAAAATGCCAAAATACCAACTAATACGCGGGCAACGCCGTGTCGGGACAGCTAGTTTTATATATAATTTCATATTTTATAGTGTAATATACATATATTTTATGACTGTATGTTCAGATTCTGTTGAAATGAACAATATTTCTTGTGTAAAAAGATACTTGGATTATAATGAATAATTTTATTTGGTGGATAAAAGTAAAATGATTTTTCTATGATCACAAATTTACTGAACGTCATGCAATTACAATTCCAGATGAAATTGTTATATTCAAATACACAACACATTGATATTAATAATATAATTAACTTGTGAAAATTTCATAACTTCGTTATACTTATTACAGGGTTGCTTACAAATGTAATTTCAAATAAATTGAGTGTAATTTTGGGAAAACTTACATACAGTGTTTTCTTAGTCAATTTTCCTGTTTTGCAAATGTTACAGATACAACAGAGGGTACCACTTTATATTTTGCCATCAACTGTTGTAAGTCAATTATTTGATTTAAATATATGAATTTTCATATTTAAAATATATAAATACACTTACATCCAGGAATAAATATTTATATTTACTATTTATTAATTATTTACTCCTTAATTAATTTATATTTATTAAATTCATATTTTTCAGTTGGAAATGTGGATCTATGGTTTATTTAAATGTTATTTGATGGGTTTTATATTTTATATGATTGTCGAAGCACCGTTTATAAATTTGACGAAGCATTTGTTTGGACGAAGGTGAATTATTGTTTTCTTTTTAAGCCATAAATTATTTAATTTTATTTAAATTATTTGAATGAGGTCCACACTTACCATCTCAATTAAGTATTCATGCGCTATTGATATTGCACTCTTAGCCAATAATGAGTAGGATTTATAAAAAATCTCTGAATGATGAGTATGCTTCCAAAAATAGCAATTATTCATTTATGAAAAACTAAAAAAAGACGATTTACTAACAATTAGACATAATCTATAGATGTAATATTAACAGAAAGAAGTGGATGCTTGAATAAATGAACATTTTAAACAACAAGATAGCTCCATTAACCATTACAGAAGCTGCGTTATGAAAATCAGATCCAGAATCGCACCGGAGAAGGCAGCGTTTATGAATAAAAAAGACTTTAATGCACTATTAGTATGAGTATTAAGATGAAAAAACACTTAATAAAAATATATTTATGGAGTGTGGTAAGAAACCTGG